CTTGAGGTAATTCCCGAAGCACCTAATGCTATACCATACACTCTCCCACCTAGGACCACTAGAGGAAAACCCAAGCCTCAATATTGTCCTGACCTTACTGCCAAATCTAAATATCCCATTAATAACCATGTTTCAACTCATAGATTGTCAAAGTCATATGCATCATTTGTCAATCAATTATCTACTGTATGTGTTCCAAATAAGTGGCAGGATGCTATAACAGATTCCAGATGGGCTGAAGCAATGGCGATTGAAATGGAAGCTCTGGAAAAGAATTCTACATGGGAAATGGTCCAGTTGCCACAAGGGAAGAAACCAGTTGGATGTCGGTGGATATACGCCATTAAATACAAAGCTGATGGATCCATAGATCGATCCAAAGCTCGATTAGTGGCCAAAGGGTATACACAAACGTATGGAATTGACTACCAAGAGACATTTGCACCTGTTGCCAAGATCAATACCGTACGTGTTCTCATGTCATTGGCTGCAAACCTTGATTGGCCACTATTGCAGTATGATGTAATGAATGCATTTCTTCACGGGGAATTGCAAGAAGAAGTGTATATGGAACCACCACCAGGGATCTCCATGGCACTTGGTCCCAACACCGTGTGCAAGCTGAGAAAATCATTATATGGGCTAAAGCAGTCACCACGAGCCTGGTTTGGAAAATTCACAGATTCTATGAAGCGCTTTGGGTACACTCAGAGCCACTTGGATCACACTTTATTCTTAAAGCGTCGTGGTGACAAACTTACGGCCCTTATCATCTATGTTGATGATATGGTGGTTACCGGTAATGACAATGAAGAAATGAAGAATCTGCAGAAGCTCCTTGCTAGTAAATTTGAGATGAAGGAATTAGGTGAGTTACAATATTTTCTTGGCATAGAAGTTGCTAGATCAACACATGGCATATTTCTATCCCAACGAAAATATGTGTTAGACTTGTTAACAGAAACTGGAATGCTTGATTGTAAGCCAGCTGACACACCTATTGAGCAGAACCACAAGTTAGGGATGTATCCAGACCAAGCACCCACTGACAAAGAAAGGTATCAAAGATTGGTTGGGCGACTGATTTATCTATCACACACACGCCCCGACATAGCTTATGCTGTGAGTATGGTGAGTCAGTTTATGCATCAACCAAGTGAGGCACACATGAATGCAGTAACTCGGATCATGAGGTACTTGAAGGCTGCCCCTGCCAAAGGGTTGATATTCTCCAAACATACACATATGAACCCAGAAGGATACACAGATGCGGATTGGGCAGGATCCATCACAGATAGACGTTCTACTTCTGGATACTTTACATTTGTGGGGGGCAACTTAGTCACTTGGAGAAGTAAGAAGCAAAAAGTTGTGGCTAGATCAAGTGCTGAAGCAGAATTTAGGGGAATGGCTCAAGGAGTTTGTGAATTGCTCTGGTTACGGAAATTACTGAAGGATCTGGGAATTAAACCATTGAAAGCTACAAACTTGTACTGCGACAATAAATCAGCTATCGAGATAGCACATAACCCAGTACAACACGACCGTACCAAACATGTGGAAGTCGACCGACACTTCATCAAAGAGAAACTAGAAAGGGGTATAATCAAGTTTTCATTTGTAAACTCGGAAAACCAACTTGCTGACATCCCGACGAAGGCCGTATCAAGTAAAGTCTTCCATGACTCACTGGACAAGTTGGGCATGCGTGATATCTTTGCACCAACTTGAGGGGGAGTGTTAGTAAAGACAAAGACAAAACATAGACATCCCTAAATGGCTTGTCTACCACCTTGTTACTTTTCCTTGTTTTCTTCTTCCTTGTTTTAGGGATGGAAACTCTCCATGTTTCCCTCCATGTCTTGTGCATTGTTTGTAACTAATAATCACCTTGTATACTTGTATATCTAACCCTTCACCAAGTAAGTAATTAAAATTGGCAGATTTGAATTCTCTGCAAAACCTATCTTGTTCTTCTTGTTCTACATTCTCAATTCTCTCAATTACACTATATCTGGCATAACGGCCTCTCCAATGGCCATTTCGACAACCTTTTTATTGTAGACCCTCGCGTGCCGGAGGCGAAAATTGACGTTATAGATCTTCCTCAAAACAACAAGCTCTACCACCTCCAGGTATGCCTCTGCGTGGATAGTGGGGACGTCGGCCTTGAGACCGCTTGTAATATCGTCGCCGGCAGTAACCGGCCTGCAGAAATTTTTGTTACGCATGCTGCGGAGAGCAATGAGATTGTCCCCGACTTTGAGTGGCCAAAAAAATGTGTACCAGTCATCCTTGATGAGATTGTCGAGGGAGAAGTTATCTAAGTCTGGGCAGATCCAGTCATCCTTGGTAAGCCTCCAAATTCCGAACAAGGAAGTGGATATTATGCGATGGATTCCTAATTGTTTGGCCCAGACATCGCTCCTTACCGTCTGATCTCCTAAGTCGTCGGATTCGAACAACAGATACACGCGTCCGTCGATCATGCGGGCACTGAGGTATTTGCCATTGCAACCCTTGAAAGCCACGTATCTGGGAAGTCTCATGGGCAACGAGTCCCAATCGGTGGCCATCATGTCGGCTTCACGCGATGATGCAGATGCTGCGAGTGGTGCTGCGTGTAGGCCTTCCTTGCAGGCATTATTTTTCCGGCAAAGGCTTGCGTAGCTTCCAAGCTGGACATGGCGAAACTGGAGAGGAAAAACTTTAATATCCGAATTAAAAGATGAGAAATCTCCATCATCACCGTCACAACATGAATCTTCACGTTCGTAGATGGGCTCGAACAAGGTGCATGTGGTTTTGGATCGGTCTTCCTCTGGTTCGTCGGCCCCAGCAACAATCAAAGCCTCCTTATGGAACTTGTCCGTGCCCTGCAGCCTTACCCAGTATTTGTTATTGTAACAGCATCTGATGTGTAGGAGGCCCTCATTCTGGCTGCTCTTTGCTCTCTCCAGCTCGAACTTTGAGTAATGGCTGCCAATGTTCTCTCCTGAGAATTTGAGAAACCCTGCTACTGGCACCTTCTTTTCATCTTCATCATGTATGTAGTGCAGGTGTTTGTGGTTGCTGGAAGATCTCAGCACCACAAACCTTGGCAGAGTTGCCATTTTCTACCTTCTATCACTTCAATTTATCATCTCTCTCTCTCTCTCTCTCTCTCTCTCTCTCTCATATGTAGTTCAATATCGTTGCTTAAAAATAAAGGCCATTATTGTTGTCCCAGTGAAAAAGGAAAAGAAGAAAGTAGAAAAGATAAAGGGAAAGAGAATTTATTATGTTCTCCTTATCTTCTCTTTTGCTTTTCCACTTTTCTGTTTATTCTTCTCTTTGCTTTCAGAAAACAGTCTTGCATTTAGTATCGACATATAAATGTCTCTTTGCCCAAAAAATAAATAAATAAACTTATTTTTTTTAGTAATTCACAAAGAGACCAAGCGGTTCCAACCAAAAAAAAAAAAAGAGACCAAGCAGTCTATATCATTTTTTCTTTGAAAACCGTTTGAGATTCGAAACCACATGAAATCAGATGCAAGAGGTTTAAAGAAATCGAAGCTAGGATTTCAGTTTAGAGAGATAACTCAAAGAGAAAAAGGCTCGAACAATTCTTAGATTCATACAAAATGATTCTCCAATACAATTGCAGAGGTAGTGTAAGCCTTTATATACATTTGCTAACAACGATTAACTTCAAATAATTTACCAAACAAGTGTTTTTTTTTTGGCCAAACGAAAGAGAGTTGTATTAAAGTCAAATGGAAAAGGTTTACATAACTAGCAAGAATATCAAAAATCCATTAAGGCCACACTTGATCTCATACGTGGTTACCTCCTACTCTAGACACAAAGGCCGCAACCTGTGCGCTGCCTTATCACATTGGCCTGGAGTATCTTTAAAAACTACCTTTTTCAATTGGCCAGCAGGCATCTGGATATCAGAAACAATAGCCTCCACTGCTACTTGTACCTGTCGTTCTCCTCTAAGCATTTGCATATTGTGCACCGAGTCAGACTCAACTTCTACACACAACATTCGAGTCTTGACGCAAGTAAGCAAAGCTTCTCTAATAGCCTCAGCCTCCATCTCTAATTTAGCAAATAAGTTTTCAGTTTTTAATTTTTTAAAAATGAAATGAAAAATAAAAAATGATGAAAACTCAAAAGATTACCAACATTTATTATTCACCGCTACCATTAATTCTAGACAAGACAAGTCATGAATCATTCCCAGATACATATGGGAATTGTAATATATAAATTTATCTAGAGTTGCAAGGCAAGTTCTCAAATCAATTCCACAAAACACAGAGTAGGCCTCAAAGAATAAATGAAGGTCTAAACCCTGAAACTCATGAAACTAGAGTAGCCTCAAATCTTTCACAAAACTAAGAGAACGTTTCACCAATTATTAAAAAATTCATTCATTTTGAAAATAAAGAACACAATATAAATTTATAAAACCAAATCGCCAAACAATATAAATTTATATTGTTTCAAATTAAAACAAACATAAGTTTTTTTAAAAAAATTGACCAAAATTGAGGATTATCCTTAAATTGCTTCAAATTAAAACCACAGGAGCAAAAGTGACTAAATTGAAACCACAATAACTTTAATGTAAAAGTGATGAACCGCAGGTGTCAAAAGTGACTTTTTGTCTTTTCCCTTTACTTTGAATTTTCTTTTTACAAAGTTGGAAGAGGCTACTAAACTTACAACTGTACACCACGAGGGCAAAGGAAACAAGCCCACCAATAGTTCGAATTACTTGACATTAATTAACATAAAAGGAAAGGGCAGACACAAACTTAGACAAGTTGGCTAGAGCGGATATGCTCTCCACTCTGCATCCGAGTTCGAATCCCCCTCCCTGTAGTTTAGATTAATTTAAAGTAGATTATCGCTTGTTAAAAAAAAACATAAAAGGTAAGGTAACTATGCAGTGTGTTGTGAGGATTGAAATGTCAAATCACACATTAAGAGCACTAAACTCTTCATGCAAGACATTTTGATAATTTCGAAGTTATGCAGGTGTGAATTCATTTGGAGGCTGTTAGATGAACTAATTAGGAAGTCCGGTGAGAATAAATAGTAAATATAGCGGACAAAGAAACATTATAATAATAGGATTTGCTACCTTAAAAGCGATTATTCCATATAAATATGTAATTTGAAAATCCAACTCAAATATTATTTTCACTTTCCTTTAAATTGCTACAATATTTTCTTAATATGACAACAAATTGAAAGCTCTCATTTAGGTCTATTTTCAGTCACCTTCTTGTTCATGTACATATTTTTATATGGTACACAGTTTCTTTCCTAGAATTCTAGAGCATTTCTCCTTTTTCTAGACCATATGCATTGGATGTCTTCTACCCTTTGTTATGCTTTATTGTGTGGACCCAGTTGGAGGTTGTTGGATGAACTAATTTGGAAGTCTAGTGAGAATAAAATAGTAAATATGGTGTACAAGGCAACCTCATGATAATTTGATTTGGGACGATGAAAACAATTGTTGATAAAAAAAGATATGTAATTTGAAATTATAACTAATATTGTTTTCACTTTCCTTTAATTTGCTCTAACACCTTTTTTATGATATATAAATGAATTTAAGGAAGCTTGTATTTTATACAAAAATAATAATAATAAAAGGACACATTTTCTTCCCTATAAATATAGACCATTTTTGTAGAGATAGCTTAGCCAAGGTGGCTAGAGCATATGTGCGCTCCCCACTTTGCACCCGAGTTTAAATCTTCATTCCCATTATTTAGATTACATTAAAGTCAAATATCGTTTGTATAAATCTTCATTAGACTTGTGCACTCAATGCCTTCTCTCGTATGTTTAGCTTTGTTGCCTCTATTCTACCTTGTTTAGCCGTTAAAACTCTCTCGCTCCCTCTTTCTCTCTCTCAAGATATCTAGCTGCACTTCACAGAAAAACATCGCATTGGTACCCTCCACCTCCACGCCTAAAAATTCGGTATTAGTGCACCTAGAAAATGCTCCTTCATCTTGGTTGGATATAGACTTCACCGATCTTTGGGAGCTGTTTGACTGACTTAAGGTCATCAACAACCACTAGCCTCTTTTCCAAAGCCTAGAGAAATTGAGAGCTCTAGTACTGAACTTGAGGAAATCCAATAGAAACTGTTGCTGTAAGTAACAGGCTTTTGAGCCCATGGCATCCTCTTGAACAAGGTTGGTGCAGCTCAAAATTCTCATCCAAACAATATGGAAAGCATCCAAAACCAACGCTATCATGAACTCCGATCAAGTAAAACTTCTTGATGAACATCAAGCCAACAATATTTTGAGCCCTACAAAACCAGATGGGGGCACAGTGGCCAATGCAGACCACTCCACCATTGATATTAACGATAAGTTGTACGCGATCATCGGGGATTTAATTTGTAGTCGAGAACAGGAGTGTAGAATATGTCTCTAAAGATGAACTTGATGATTAATGCAGCATATCCAGCAACAAGTACGGGAAACTCTTTAATAGAAGATGAATCGGTGAGCTAATTAATTAGATCACACCACTATAGGAGTATTGTAACGTAGTTCTTATGAGTGTCATAATTTAGCCCTTGGCCACTATATAAGAGATCTAAATGAGTTTCACTTGTCGTGTGCACGTATATTACACCAATGGTTCAATCTATTTTACCTTTGTAATCAACGTGCCATGTTAGTACTTGAATTGAATCGACTTGTCTTCAGTAGTATCTCACTTTGAATTCATTGAGTAAATCAGAGTGATCGAGCACGCTCACCTCAACTACGATTGAAGCACTATCAAATTCCTTGTCACAAAGTTCGGGCGGCGGTGGCTGCTTGTTGTTTCTAGGGTTTTTGTGTTTTTGGGGTTTTTTTTGTTTTTTTGGGCCTAAATTATTTATATTTTGTATTGAACTTTTATTTTGTTTGGTTAAGTCCTTGTTTTTATTGTTCTAATTTTTGTATTGAACTTGTATGTAACTTTCTATGATAATGACACGTTCATTCCTTTGAAAAGGAAAAAAAACTAAAGCATTGTGATGAATTGAAATTTTTTATTTTAATCGCTCAAATTTGTCTGCCAAAGTATTTCATGATTGCTGGAGATTTTGAAGGTTGACCTCATCTTGTCATATTCATTTTTTAGCTGATTTTTTCACTTGATAAAGTTTAAGGAGATTTATCTAGAACCTACCTAGTAGAAATTTCATTCAAAATCCTCTCCACCTAGCTTGCTCGAGAAACTTCCTATGCCTTATCTTTTAGAAATTTGCAAAACCAACCCTAAATTATGGTTTATTACATCCTTGGCTACTCCGTCAAACTGACCATCACGTGAACCCTTTTTTTTTTCTTTTTTTTTTGTTACATTGGAAGAAAGAAAACCTCACCGGGATTCGATTATGGGTGTCATTGGCACCTTTGTGTTTTGGGATAGCTTTCAAGTAGTACATTTTCCGCTCACAAAGACCCTAGATCAATGAAAAATCTATTAATGGATGTTCTATGGAAACATATATAAAAGAAATTTTTAACAAAAAAAAAAAAAAAAAAAAAAAAAAAAAA